AGCCGCAATCCGTGAAATTCAACCGATTATCTTCGATGATCGATGATGAAATTCCAACCACTACTATTCCATCACTAATATTCACCCTCATGGTCTTTCATGTGACAATGACCCTTTTATTGTTTTCAGCCCTGACAGCTCTCTGAACAATTACCAGTAGCAACACCTTATAACATGAGATGGCTTCTTGGACATCACTGGAATTTATTCTCTCAGCAATGCTAACCATTCAATCAACCACGCAAAAACCCTGCCAGATTAGTTTAGAACATACTAAACGATGGAGATGAAATTTAGCATGATTCTGCTCTATATCATACATTTGAGCTCAGCATCTACTACAAAACAATTAACTCACCTGCTGCTGCTGCATCAGCATTGCTTTTGTGAAGATGGTGCTCTGATAATCTGAACTGTATCCTCATGCTCTCTAGAGCTCTCTCTGTGTTATCCAACTTGTCTTGCAGCTGTGCATATGATAAAATTACACAGATTACATTGATATTCAAGTTTTGTAATTCATTACACACGTATGCTAAACAACTGCACAAGTAAAAACAAATTTGCATTTACCCTACACAGGTTCTCATTATTCACGGGCTTGACGTTGCTTAACACTTTGCTCGAATGCTTACCACTTTGCACATCGTTGTAAATAAAAGTATAATGTTAAGCCCTTCCAAAAAAATCACAAAGAATACATGTATATACATTAACATGCATCACTGAATAGCTGACATTTCACAATCCTAACAGGGTAAAATTACCGTCCTATTTGTGTTGTGTAGGATGTCCATCTGGCCTGTCAATGCTTCGACATGCTTTCTTAGGTCATCTATTTGCATTGAGTCTGCATCCATAAGGGGTGAGCCGGCCAATCCCTGCGAAATAACAGCCCTGGTGCACGACGACAAACTTTCAGCATCCTCAGCAGCTTGGGAACCTGGCATTTGGTCCCCGAAGCCCTCATGTGGGCTTGCATCATTATAACTGTGTTGCCGGTGCCCAGGCCTGGTTGCAGAAGTCACTCCAGCTCTGAAATCCTGCAGACGCCTCATGCCAATGTCACCTGCACCATTCTGACCATGTGGATAAATAGGTGTGGAATGTAAGTATGGCACAGGTTGACACGTCGGCCGATGGAGTGGTGAGTAACACAGAGAGGGATTTGCAGAGGTGGGACTAGGTTGTCGAATAAGTGTACTAGGTGGCGCGTAGTGATCACTGCATGGCACACCGACTTTATCGGTAGCTACGACCTCATGCATGTGGCGAGCCCGTACTGGAGTGCGATAGGGGGCGCTGTTCGATCTCTGGAACCTATACGACCTTGCTTGATAACCATCACCGCATTCCAAGTCATGATATTCATCCAGTGATCCATGCTGAGATGTTGTCACTGGCACTACTGTCAAGACAAATGGTATTTGTGAGTACGATAGCATTTTAACAGGAACATATATAAGGTGCTCCTGATAAATATGCTTATTAGATAAGACATGTTTGTCTACTAGTCAGAGTAACACTAATATCGGTGAGGTAAATAAACTACCAGATCATTCTCATCGTTTGGCTATATAAGCAATTATAATAAACGTAGTGCTCGCATCTTTCAGCTTTTTCTTGAAGTCATGCAGAGAAACAGTAGCTCCCCGCAGGCATGTTGACCTATGATTTAGATTGTACTCTGGGGTCATATTAAATTTTTATCAAAAATACATAAACTATTCTGATATGCAATCCCGAAACAATTAAAATGAACCCATTTCAAAAGCTTTTGTTTGCTGTAACACATCATCAAAATTCACTTTTTTTGTATACACTAAGCTTGAAAATTATAATACATTCGTAGCTGTTGCAACAAATTAATGCTATTGGATTTCTGGCAGTACGATAGCGTAATCTTTTACTCACTTGTGCAGGCTGGTTACCAGCCGCAACCTACATTTTATTCTAGTAATTACCCAGCATGCAATTGTAACTGCATAAGTGTTACTAAGTCTTGCAGTCACCTACCAATCATTGAATGATGACGTATGGCAAAGCAGCATGTTTTGTCTATATCACTATCAGGGTAAAAAATACATGGGAACGATGAGCAATTCGCTCTTCAAACTTCCGAAATCGCTCCCGTGAGGCTAAAAATAGCTCCCGTAAAATTTTTGATGAGAGCTATTTTTTCCAGACTTTTGAGAGCTCCCATGAAAAAAAATTAATTTTTTCCCTGGTCTATATAATACATTGATCAGATTTGACCCCGACAAAACTTTTAGGGGCACACAGCAAAGAAGCACCACTGTATCATTTACTATTTATTATACTTAAACACTTAATATATTAGATCAAATATCAGGACATGGTGTTAATTAAAGTCCAAAGCTCATATAGGTAAAAGCTAAGATCGTAGATTTTAATGACCAGTATTAGCAAATTTACGCTTTTGAAATGAGTCAATTTGAATAGTTCTACACATCTCACTCTTACCATCACATTGTGTTCCCCTGTCACTGTAGATTAAACATTCTTGAAGTGACGGCTGAGACCTACAATAGACAATGCCATATATACTTGTAGTCTTTAAACAGAATTTGGATATTTTTGGATGGTCAACTAACCAGATTCCAATATGCCATAGCGCCTTCAAAAATATCATATCATAACCCTAAACAACAGCAAATGTCGGTGCTTATAGTGACACATTTCATAATATAGAAAAAAGAAACCCCTGCATCTTGCCCGGGATGAATTTCTAGATCTGAATTACCTTGTCGCCATTTCAAAAACAAAACAAGATCATTCTGGTCGGAATAACTTTACCTTGCACTTTAAACACACTCTGTTTTATGATAGCAAAACAAACCTGCCACTGTTAGTGAGTCTCAGGCTGTCCAGCAGCTCCTGTCTCACTTGCTCCCTGAGTCTGTTCTTCACATCTTCCTCTTCCTTTGAACACTCTAATTTGCCAACATTATTTATTACACTGCCACTGATGCATGAAGGATTCTCCACAGTAGCCTGACCACTAGCAAGAGCCGTGTTTAATACCTCATTTTCATTCCTGCAATGAAGCACGCCATAGAATTTATAGGAAGGAGTTATACGGACAACTTATTAATTCGTCTTTTATGTTAGTTATTATTAGTATTAGTTATCACACACGTCTAGCGCAATAACTTCATATTCTATGTATACAAGTTATTACTGACCGTATCTTGTATAACTGTGCATAACAAGACATATAATTGAGCTACACCAATGTGCCATGTTAAGCCTTTGTTAGACTAGATGATTGTTGAATCTGGTAATGATGATCAGAGAAACTGTTGCATGTTTTAAGGACGATTCCTCTATATTTTACCATGTTAGTTTACACTACAGCTCACATGCTACAGACAGTGGGTAAAATTAGCGATATTTTACCGGCGGCCGCCGGTTTGACACCCCCCCCCCCCATATCAGTCCACTTGGCCTATTAATTTTTTTTTGCCTGTCTTGCCTTTATATCAACAATATTTACCAATTTCCTGACTAGTTTTTACTTAGTGACTACTAAGAAGTAAATAATGTTCTGGCAATTCCAGTCAAACAAGTAGAACTCCACTGATAGCAATGAAATACTGAAGTACTACGAGCATGCCTAATAAACACAAGCTAATAATAATAATGGAATAAATTGAACAAAATTAAGGGCCTGTTCAAACGTGCAAGGGCCTATTCAATTTGTCTAAGGGCCTGTTTAAAATTTTGGGTGGGCCTATTCACATTTTGGCTAATTTCATTCCCTGTACAGACATTTCGAAAAGTGGCAGCATGCGCATGGATTTTTAATAACACTACATGAGCATTTGAACCATTTAAACAAGAAATATAAATAAATGTTAAGGTATAGTAAATAAACACATATTGTATATATACTACCAGTCTTAATGTCTACATACTCTCTATCATCTACTAATTCCACATAAATACTGGTCAACTACACTTCTCCAATGACGACTTGTCGCATGCGCACCACTTTGTACACATTTATGAAAGATATATCAGGTGGGAAAGCGTGACCGCCAAATTCGCACACTGCTTTTTTTATTTTACACTATCTCATTACAAATACATAAGTAAGTCCCTCCATATTCGTTTTCGTGTGTAGTCGAGTGTTTGCTTTTTCGATTTAATCGCCCTTTTACTTTGGTAGACCTGAATTTGCTCAGAGAAAACTCGTAAAATCCTGCAGAAGTCGTACCACACGGCAATGTAAATAAGAGCCAGCGAATGTTATATATACATGAATAATTGCAAGACCTTGCATTCTGGATGGATGTGCTCCATGCTTTCAAGCTCCAAGAGGAGCCAGGATGATTTGCACAAGAATGACGTCAAATACATCACTCTGCTTATTACCCAATCAATCATATAGCGCTGATAAGAATTTTCAGATAATAAACATGCAGTTTCTTCGAGTTACATTGCGATAGAGTGCAGGTTTTTCCACGGATTTACAAGATTGATAATTTAGATTCTCCGGATCAATTAACAGGTCCGTAAATACCTTTCAACCTACAAAAATATTATATCAGATCTTCCAAACTTTGTCATAACAGAAATGAAAATAATGGCTAGAATGCACTTGGGTTGTGTGATTTGCTTTGATGCATCAAAATCAATACCAAAATATTTAACACGTTTATTTTCAATCAACCAATAAAGCCATTGATTGTTGCCCAGCCCAAACAAGGCAAGATTACAATATCTGCTCTAAGTCTAACAATGTTTGGAAGATTTTGTTCTGATATGTTTATAATAATATAAAGTGTATAAAATTTAAGCACATGGAAACTGCTTTGTGATGTAGGTAAAATGTTACTAAAGAGGCCCTTGTACAGATTTTTCTGAACTGTAATGTCACAAAACATTGTCATTGAAACGGTTGTCGAATAATTTTGTATGCTAGGAATTGCTGCTTTATTTCTATGGAAGGATGGATTAGCAGCATTTCATAAAAATATCTAGTGCACAACTCATTGATCTGCACAGTGGCATGCATGCGATAAGACAGACTGTTGTAAAAGAGCATTTAAATTGCATTTGTATAGAATTTTAGAATATTAGTCATTACAGTGTACAACAAATTAGGACTAGTGTTTATTTACTGTCATATCATTATTAAAAATAAAATACCACAAAGTGACAAATGCCGGCCCAAGGATAGAGAACATGGGTCCCAATAAAACCAATGTGCCTAACCCTAACCCTAATTCTAACCCTGGCCCTAACGGCCCAAGGATAGAGAACATGGGTCCCAATAAAACCAATGTGCCTAACCCTAACCCTAACCCTAACCCTAATTCTAACCATAACCCTAACCTATTATATTGATATAATCAGTGCTCGAAATAAGCGTTGTCCGGTTGTCCAAGACAACCAGAATTTGCACCGGACAACCTAACCAGTCTGAGACATTGTCCGGTGGACAACCAAGAAACCCTAGCCCTAACCCTATCCCTAACACTAACCCTAAACCGACTCGGCTATCTTATACATGTAATATAAAAATATGGGACCAGCTGGTATTTCCAACACTGGTATATGTCAGGTTTTCTGATTTATGAGAGGTGAACTCGATTTGGAACCAGCAAGTT